AATGCAGCACCAGGACACGAGGCACCTCCCTGCACCTGCGAAAACACCCCAGACCTTGCCCTGGTGCCCTTTACCCCAAGATAAGCACAGATGACTGGTTCCCTGCCACTCACACCATGGCCTTGGATGCACCAACACAGCTCCAGGCTCCCATGGGCCCTCCCAGAGCTGCCGTTTGGAGTCAACAGTGGAAGGAACTTAAGCAGTGTCCCAGAGGGAGCCTGTGGAAAAGCTAGGGACAAGCCAACCTCTGGACTCCCCCCACCTTTCTCAAGACAGTCTCTCCTCAAAGGATATGCACTCAGCCTTTGATGTTGTCCATCAGAGCAAGGACCCTGGACTAGAATAAATGTGCAAGCCTCAAACCCTATCTTTGACACATCAACCTCCAGTGTGGTCTTCACCAACTAGGCAGCTCCATGCCTCAGTGTCCCCCCTAGTAAACAAGGAAGATAACATTGTCCACAAGCCAGAGAGGTACACGGATATCCTCGCTTATGCCTCCTCTGTTGAAAGGCAGCACAGAAGACTAAACATATTGGGTGGCAGATGGCAGAGGCGTGTGCCAGTAGGTAGAGAGGCAGGCTGGGCAGAGAGAGGTTAACAGAAAATATGTTGGCTGCTGGGGAAGGGGCTGAGATCTTTGCAGTCAGGGAGCAGAGGGAAGAGCATTTGGTACAAGTCTCTCAGAGAAGCTGGCTCTGGAGAGGAGTGAGGGTGAGCTGCTTCTCACCACCCAGCAAATACCTCCTGTGTCCCTTATCTAGGCCTGCACACTTACCATGGGGATTTTGAGGGCATTGATGTAGAAAGAGTGAATCTCCCAGTAGCAGCAAATGTTGTAGATAAATTTGACAAGTCGGTGGATCCAGAAAACCCCAGCTATAATCAAGATGCAGATGAGGAAGCTGTTTGCCTGGATTCTGCAAGCAAGAAGAGGCAAGCAGTGGGAGACAGGCTCAGGCAGGTGCCCTGAGTACCTGAGAAAGCAAGAGCAATGGCTAACATGCCCTCTCTGATGCCCCTACCTCGCACTGCAGACATTGGGAGGCAGGAAGGCATCTGGCAGAGTCACCTTAATGGGCTCAGTGGGATGCTGGCTGTGATTTACTGCTTTGTTGGCAAAGAGGATGTCGTAATCAACACAGCTGATAAGAAAGGTGGTGAATGCCACCACGAAGATGAACTGCCTGTGAAAAAAGGGAGCAGATGTGAGGGCATCGCCTTTCTGCCTCCCCAGACAGGAGGCAGACAGGGTCACAGGTCATGGAGGTGCATTCCCACAGTCACGGCAACAGGAAAGGTCAAGGGCACCAGTTCCTCAAAGCAGAACGCAGGTTTGGGGCATGGAAAACCCTAACAAACAGGAGATGGGACAACTGTAAAGGGAAACCTCCCACCCACCCAGCTGCAGGAGCTTGGCAAATTTCTGCAGCTGTTCCCCAACAGCTGCCACAGCCCCAGCAGAGAAGGGACCTGTGCTTACATGAGCTCAAAGATCTCTCCGATGAGCATGCAGGTGAAGCCATTCTTCTGATGCAGGTTATAGACGTGAAAGCTACAGTCAAGGAGAACAGTCTGGGCACTCCTTCCCTCTGAGGAAGGATGGGGGGTGAGGTCTCTGTCCCGTTGGCATCTGCAGCTCCCCAGCCAAGTCTTCCTCCATCACCAATAGAAACCACCTCCCACCACTACTCATGAGCAAGCTGGTTCTCTGCTGCAAGGAAACACACTCTACCCAAGTAAAGCAGAGCTGAATTAAGAGGACTTGGATCCATCCAAGCTCCTATCTTCCCTCACCCAACACCCAGAGCAGGAGCTGTCCCAGGACTGAGCAGAACTCAGCCTGCCCTCGGGCCACACAGGGGTGGGCATGGCAGGACAAAGCAGACACAGGTAAAAATACATTTAATCACCCCAGCACCTGTGACCGGTTCCCCCTGCTCCTGCAATGTGGTTAGCATAACTAATGCCACAGTATATGACAAACAGCCATCCTCTGGGACCAAGTGGGTCACCTGTTAGTTCCCTTTGCCTCATCATCAGGCCCTAATGGTGCTGTGAATCAAGCAGGTTGGTTCACAAACCATTACAGATTTCTTCCTCCCCTCCCTTCTGGCCTCAAGATTCCCTGGTACCAGGCTGATTACTCACTTCCTTGCAGGCCCTGAAGGTCCCTGACACCTGGCCAATGAGGTGACAGTGATGACCCCTGTCACAGAACAGGGAATCATAACAACACCCAGAGCATGTCCTTAAAATCAAGGAGTTACAAGTCTTATGTAGGAACTGGGACTGGAGCTGCTGCTGGACAGTGAGACCCAGGACCCTGCAGTGGCCAGGACAACCCAACCATTGCCTCCTTCCTCTGAGGTCTGATCAAGTGACTCATATCTTTAACATTATTTTTGAGTTTCGATTATGGTTGTTACACTGATACACCAAACCATACATTAAGATCTGATCTGACCTGCAGAGAGTCCTGGTGACTAGATAACATAAGCTAAGCAGTGCTTGAAAATTCTGTCCTGTACACAATCGTACTACACTGATTCTGCTTACAGAAATTCTGTGCTATTCTGGTTATAAATCCTATGCCATGCCAATCATAAAATCCTGTCAAGGAAACAAAGCTGTAACTGGTCGTACTACACTGATTCTGCTTACAGAAATCCTGTGCTATTCTGGTTATAAATCCTATGTCATGCCAATCAAAATCCTGTCAAGGAAACAAAGCTGTAACTGTAACAACAACCCAGCCCCGTCATCACTCTGCCAAAGATCTCTAAAAGAACCTTCCTGTCCTCTCAGCATTGTGTGGCAGCACCCACCGGTGTGGGGCCTCTGCCATCCCCCAGCTGCTCTGCAGCCACGCAGTGTCCTGAAGGAAGGGGCAGATGCTGCCTCAGCTCCCAGTGACACTGAGCCCAGCACTGCCCAAAGAAGCAGCAGCGAGGCTGGTCTAGAGCACAAGTATCACAGTGAGCAGCTGAGGGAACTGGGGATGTTTATCCTGGAGAAAAGGAGGCTGAGGGGAGACCTTATTGCTCTCTACAGCTGCCTGAAAGGAGGTTGTAGGGAGTGGATTGTTGGTCTCTTCTCCCAAGTAAGAAGCAACAGGACAACAGGAAATGGGCCGAATTTGTGCCAGGGGAGGATGTTGGCATATTAGGGAAAAAATTCTTTACCAAAAGGGTTGTCAGGCCCTGGAACAAGTGGTGGAGTCCCCATCCCTGTAGATATTTAAAAGACACGTAGATGTGGCACTGAGGGATATGGTTTAGTTAGTGGTGGATTTGGCAATGCCAGGTCTTTTCCAACCCAAACGATCCTAACAGGCTACGTTTCCGGGCACATCCTGCCCCAACCTGCCCTACAAAAGGATATGCGAGAGAAGAAGAGGTCCAGGTTCTCGATGTGATGCCAGGGAGCTGGAAGAAGACACCCGCGGGCTGACAGGTCCCACCGCCTCCCTGCCCACCCCT